GCAGAGACTTTTGTCAGCAAGCATTTCTCGGACCGCCCTGAGTTACTTAACCCTTTCTTGAAGATCGGAAGTCCTATTCTTCGTGCCGACATTCTGAGACATCTTATTTTGTTAGCAGAGGGCGGCGTCTATGCTGATCTTGATGTTGACTGCCGGCGCCCCGTGGCTGATTGGATTCCTGAGCAATACAAAGACAAAGTCAGCATTGTCGTTGGCCTCGAGATGGATTTTCCTGATAGAAACTACGTTAGCATGGCTTCCTGGACTATTTATGCCCGTCCTGGCAATCGCAAGTTTGAACAGGTACTACTCTCGATCTACGACCGTCTTAACAAGCTAGCCGAATCTCACAACGCAACGTTGGCCACAATAGGCACTGATGTTGCACGTATCGTCAAGAACGATGTTATCGTCACAACCGGTCCCGAAGCTTTCACATGCGCTATGTTCGATGGCATCGGCATAGATACGAATACTCAATGCGACATGAGGAATGCAACTGATCTCAAGGAACCACTGCTCCTGAGTGACGTGCTTATACTGCCGATCAACAGCTTCGGTGATGGCCAGCTCCACAGTCATTCTGGCGAACCAGGTAGAGGTGAGGTATTGGTGCATCACAACTTTAAGGGTAGCTGGCTGCCTGCTGTCGATAAGAAGAGAAGTTTGGATGCTATGGAGACGCTTGACGAACAACTTAGCTGAAACTCCACCCCCCCCTCTTTTTCCTTTTTCCAAAAATTGAGAAACAGAAAGAAAAGGCCGCAGGAGCTAGTATCTCCAGAGAAAAGGAATCTTGGTGGCTTCGTGAGGCGTATGTCACAGCACCATCCCGACTTGTCTAAGACACTCACGTGAGCACGGACCATTAGCGCACCATAAAGCTGTAGTCTAGATAGCTTCCTCTTCCCTCCTCCTTAAGGCACAACTACGTTACTACTAGCACCTTAGATTCGCCCCGTGATAGCGTATTCGTCGTATCCAGTAGACCACATATGCAAATTTTGGCGTCAAAGCCCTACGTTACCTTAGCGAATGTCTCCAGAGCATCGTGCAGTCGCCCAAAAACACCACTAAACCAGTGTCTTCCCTCCCCCCACTCTGGCTTGGGAAAAGTACATGCCGTGCGTAGCCAGGAACCAACAATGAGATCGGTGTAGCAGGCTCGCTGCCCTAGCAGAAAAGGCCCGTCGGTATTCTAAAGGAACAGTCTGGCCAGATCACCCAGCATGCCTCGACAGGGGTTCTGTGAGTTTCTCGTGCGCCTTGCCAGTTAAGGCGAAATCATCCCAAGAGTCGACGACGGAGTGGCGAATAAATTCAGCCTTTGTTTCGTTAGCGATGGCGGGATCAAGTGGCCGGCCGTCGACCATTGGTAGAATGTGGGTGCTAAATAGGGTTCGGCTTGAAGTAAGCTACTGTTAGATTCTCAAAATGAAGGCTGGCCAACCACCTGAATAAACTCAGGTGGTTCGGGAGTAAAGATAAAAGACCTCAGTTTTTCAAGTTAAAACAAGAAGAGAACAGGCAAGAATATATTACAATTGTTTATCTCCATAACTAGAACGAAAGAAAGAGTTGGGAATTGCCGAGTTCACAGTTCAAGTTTCGTGGTTGAGTGGAGCGAAGGTCATTGGGAATGGGATTGTCGCGTTTTGATTCGTGTATTAGCTATAGTCATTGA